TGAGGATTTCACTGACTACCAGACTGGAACAGTAACAATTGAACTTTGTCTCATCAGTCTTGATGCCAAATCATTGTTCAAATCTGTTCTACAACCAATAATACGCCTGAGGAGATAACAGCTGCACTGTGGATGTCATATATGCTTTTTTCTTTTCCCAGAAAGCACTTTGTATCCCCATTTTAACAAGTTAAATAATTATCATTGTGTTGCTGGTATTATCACTGCTGTTGCATCCAGATGAGTGACACCATATTTGTAGCCGCACAGCGTTTGTGTCTTTAGACTGAATCAGTATTCGTGCGGTCCCTCACGCTGTCATGGTGGCGACGCATTCAGCCTGCGTTTGTCTTGTTTATACGTTCTCATCTGGAGGTGTTAATTTCTCGCACAGACACTCACCTTATGTGGATTCATCTGTGTGGCGTGTTCAAATTCTGACCTGCTAAATGAAATCAATATGGTGCCGCTGAGTGCATAGCTCTTTAATCATCAATGTCAGGACACAAACAACGATCACACTCCAGGACTGTTTAGTTTTGGTTTGCTTGGCCAAGTGAGAGGAATGCTGGTGGTGCTGAGAGGGCAGAGCTGCTGTAAACTAGTACGAGTGTAACGGAGCCGGCTGCAGGACGCAAACTGAAAAGCTTTGAGCAGCCGAGCAGTTCTTTGGAAAGTCGAGCAGAACAAAATGAGGCTTTACTTGATGGTCCTTGTGTTCAGCTGCTTATTCATGTGCATGAGCACCAGGGAAGGTCAGTTGTTGTGTCTTGCTGCTGTTTTAAATGTAGAAGTGACCTGTCATCCTACAGCTCAACACAACTCCACGAGCTTATTGCTGCATCACTCATATGACGGACCTTCACGGTGCAACATGGCCGTCTTCACTCATTGGTTGAAAAGCTTCTGAGTTTCACACTTGTAACTAGTGCATTGTCAATTCACACACAAGAAGCAAACGAGCAGCAGCTTCCAGTTCTCACATAAAAGTTTTTAGGCTGAGGTCGAAATGTTGGTTTAACTTGAACCCTTTCAACACGAAGTAACTTTGGCTTTAATTACAAGGAATATCAAATCAAAATAAACTTTATTTATAAAGCACTTTTTATACATGGAGCAACGCAAAGTGCTTTATAGTATTAAAAACATTGTCAAAGAAAGAAAAAAAAAAAAGACAAGAAAACCCATCCTCCCAAGTCGTCGTCATCGGGCGGGGGCGGAATAGGGGGTCGTTGTTGTCATTGTCGACCGGGTAGCGGCGATTACGCTAGCGAATAGCAGCGTTAGCAGCAAAGACAACGGTAGAGAAACTCCATCGGCGCTTGTTGTGAAGTATTTTCCCGTTACGTACCCTCGAAAACAACATATCAGCCCAATTAGCGAAACTTTTTCAGGCAGCAGCGTAACGGGTCGTTATTCTGTTATGACGCTGGTGAGAACCCTGTATGCAATTATTACTACTATTATTATTATTATTATTATTATTTATTTCATGACTGAATCTCTTGTTCACATACGGGGATTCCCACTGATAGACAATCAAAATGACTGTAACAGAAAGTCGCCTTATGCCAGAGCCCGCTATACCGGAGCCGCTACACCAGTCTGCAGGGTAGACGGGATCAAAGCGGCAGACCGGTAAAGTGGTCTACAGAGTTGAACAGGGTGAAAGCCGCAGACCAGTATAGCAGGATATACTGTTGAAAGGGTTGAGGTTCTTTGTGCAACCTCTCAGAGCTCCTAGATGTCACCCAAGAACCTCCACTTACTCTCATTTACAACCAGGTTGTGTGCACGAGAGAAAACAAAAATAATGCAGCTACAACCATTAGCCCACCTTAATGTAGTAGAATAGAAAGCGTCTTCAACTCAAGTAACGTCATCTTCACTTTGCTCGTGTCTGTTCCGCTCCGTGTGTGTCTGTTTCCATGGTCTGTCCGGACCAATATGGGGAAACAGACACGGACACGAGTGCAAAAGAGGAAGCAGAGGATAACCTCAAAACAGCAGAGGAGACTCACACTGACTTGAAATAAAACCGTGTCCATAAATTTGCTAAATAAACTTCTCTACATTCTTTGGACATTTAGGACACCGGCTGGACTGTGCTTGTGCTTTCCCAGTGCAGTATGACGCGTCACTGTCAGTATGTTTATAAGTGTTGGGAAGTCAAAAACAGGGTTAAAGTCAAAGGGAGGAACATGCACCGGCTGCCAAAACCTAGAACACAGAAGCTCCGATTACAACACACAGAGGGAGTGTGACTCCATCACATCATTACATCATCGTTTGCTGCTTCTAATAATGCTGTATTTATGCTCAAAATCTGACATATGCCACCTTTAAGCTTTATTATACCCATCTATGATAATATAAATCAACATCAGACCCATGTAAATCTGTAATATCACGTTTTCCACATTGTTTGTTGTCATTCAGGGTTTGACTGGAGCTCTTCTAGTCGTCTTATTTGGTTGCTCTCTCTGTTTAATGGGTCTTAACTGTAGAAGTATCACCAATAATGGTTTATCTCAATTACTGGCCCCTAATATTTGCTTCCATTTGTGTGTAGAAACACATTCTTGCAGGTTTTCTACAGAGTCAGTTGAAATTTGAGCTAAATTTGACTGAACTGACGAATGCATCTGTCCTGCCAGTAGATTTGTAGCCTGCTTGTGATTCAGTGCCAGCCTCGTGCCTTAAACCTGCGGTTTCCAATCTGCAAATCAACATTAGCATTTATTTCTCATCACTGAACTTTCCTTCGGGCCTCTAACGGAGGCCTTCTCTGTTTGATAAAACAATCTGAGAACAAATGATTACTGATGACAACCTTTCGACTTGTAGCGTTAACGATGGATTAGGAGGAGACGTGGCTTTGCTTTAGGGGGTCATGAGCCAAAAAGATTAGGAGTGCTGTAAAGAATCCATATATGAGTCTGAGAAGACGAAACTTTCTCGAAGAAAAGAAAAAAAGCTTAATGTTGTGTGTTAATGGTTTATCATCAAGCACACCGCTGCTCTCAAGCTGTAAAAGTACATCATCTAAAGATATATATCCTGTTTTTTCCCCCCTGTAGTTTGTACTTTCACAGACTCCTCTACTCTCAACACCATACCGAGCATCAGGCTGCCTCTCCTTGATTTGATAATCACCTCCTGTCTCACACCGGCTCCCTCCCTCCTCAGGAAACACAAGAACTTAACATAAGAGAGTCAGGCTTTTTTTTTTGTAAGAGGGTATAATTTAGTGCACCAGGTGTGTATTTGTGAGTTCGGCAGCTACCTTGCAGCGGGTTTTACATCCCTAAACTTGACAATTGACGGCAGAGCTGCTGCCTTAACACGCGGCAAAGACACCGAAGTGATTAATTCTTGAGGCTGATTTCTTCTCCCTCCTGACTGAGTTCAGTGTTTCTGCTGTTGGATGTTCACGTGTTCCCGTCTCCACTTTAGACGTTAATGTTTATGTTGAGGATTATTCAGAAGATCAGGAGTTTGGTGTGTGTGTGTGTTCTAATTGCAGATGGGTGCTGGAAGAGCGTGTTGGCATAAAATCCATGTGAGATGTATTTTTGTGTTTAGGTTATATAAGGAACTAATTGGTTTGTTATAGAGTAGGCGTGCTTGCATGCTTGTACAAAGTGTTTCTTCGTGGATACTGGATCATTACGCTTGAGCTTATGCAGTATATGAGCCTGTGTCTATTTTATTTGCTTCATTACAACGAGTGGGAGGACTGTTGGCGTCAATGCGAAGCTCTGCTCGGCTGGAAGGGCTTCCACTCCACCGTGCGTCGACTCAATCTCATTACCGAGCGTTCGGAGTGATGCATCTGGATGAGCCGTTGATTTGTGATTGACTTGAAGGTGGAGGATGATGCATCTACAGCGTGAGAAGCAGAAAAGCGCATCGGGCGTGAGTGCATTTTCATAAGAGCAGCAGAAAATCTATCGTCAGTGTGGAGCTGATCGAAAGGTGAATTAGGAGAACTTGGATTACACCAAGTTGAAACTGGTGGAAAATGCAGAATGAAAACATGTCTGAGGTTTGATTGTCCCTTTGCTAAACTGTTTAGATTTATACTCACCGTACTAAAATGTACACAGAGTGGAGGGAGAAACAGAAATGAGCTTTCAGTCGCTCGGCTCTTGTTGACATGAGCTTGTGTTCATTTTTTTAATTTGCACACTTTGTCCTCTTTTACCAGAAATCGGTTCAATGCTAACCCGTCATTGTCTTGGTTCATTTTTGTTTCCTGCAACAACAAAAAAAGCCATATAGAGGACTTGTCAAGACGCTTCCTATGCCATTAGCAGCAGGGCGATGTAAGAGCAGAAAATGTCCCTTTGAAAATATCAGCGGTAAATGACAGGCTCTGGTGTTAGTCGCTGTGAATTGACACACTTCCCTCCAGACTGTGTTTCACTGACAGTCCACACTCATACATTGAGACATTCTTTGCAGAGAAGGCTAACTGCAGGTACCAATTTCACCAGCAGTAGTGCACTAAAAGACTGCTGTTACAGAAAGTGCTGCGCACAGAGAGAGCCCTATACGGGAAATGTAGGAAATGACTAACCTAAGTACGAGCAGCGGGGTAAGACGAGGACATACAAAAGTAAATTACAACTTTTCATCACAGACTAGCTCCTGGAATCCGCTGAACGCCACAAAATTGATGGTATTCAACCTTGTAGGAAGATCTGAGGATGGATTTTTCCTTCAGGTCTGGCCACCTCCTTGTCCCAACAGCAGACACTCTGACCTCAGCCAGACACAAACAAATTAAATTTTGCTACGGTGCACTTGGCTCCCTGTCTCCAAACTGTCCTCACGAGCAAAACCAATTTTGGAAAGAGGTGCTTTGTTAGAAATGGACATCCAGTGAAATGGATTGATGCAAATTTACTGACAGGCTTCTTTGTCTTTGTTGCTGTGTGTGTGTGTGTGTCTGTCTGTGTGTGTGTGGGTGTGTGTCTTTGTTTCTTTGTCTTCAGAGGCGGGTTTGAACAGGACGTGGAGAACGGCTACCATCAGCATCCCGATACCTGCCACGGTGAGATGGAAGCGTTTGTTTACTCTCAGTCGTTCGCACAAGCAATAAAGGGAAGAGATTCAAAAAAGAAACTATTAACCGTTATCAGATCTTGATGGCGGCGGGAACGAGTGATTGCGGTTCTAACGAATTATAATGAAGCATTAGGATGTATTTATTTCAGCTAGGGCAGCCATTCGGTTCATATCGAAGGAGCTTGAAAAGTAGTTTGTCCGCCCACGCTCGCTATCCCTGCTGGAATACTGTTCTCAATCTTTCCATGTTAATTAAGCATATGCTCATCGAAGTGTTGTGTTTTGTTTTTTTTTTTTTGTAAGACAAAGTGGGTTGTTTATAGCTCATTTGCACGTGTCTAGGATGTGATGAGAAGCACAAAAAGGACAAAGTCGACGGTCCTTATCTGCCGTCAGAAATGAATGACTTGTAGCCCTGAAAGCAGGAATCCTACCGAGCATCTACCGCACTCACTCATATTGTTTTCTATCTCTCTCCTCCAGATGTCTTGGCGACCACTCGCAAGCAAAACACGGCGATAGATTCAGCGTATGGTCAGTGGACACGTCTTTTATATCTCCATCTACCGGCCTCACTTGATTTTTTTGCTGGTCGCCACAGAGCACTGAGCACTAACAGGGCAAATGCTAGGAAACTAAACTCAGCAGACGGTCTCACGTCCAAGAAAATGTTGTTGGTTCTGTTCTACGGTTGTGTGATGTGTTTGATCCTTTTGTTTTGCAATCATAGAGGAGTTTTCCTATCAGGCCTTTTGAAAAATATGTATTCCAAAAATGAGAGATGCTGGAAGGCTGAATCCCGTCCACCGCAAGTGCACGAGCAGCGAGACAAATGAGGACGTTCTGAACAAATCCAAGTTTATTTTACCGATTTGTCTGATGGAGAACATGTAAGAGTTGTTATTATAAGTTGTGTGCATGCACAGCTCCAGTAAGTTCCCTACAGTAGGTCTCTTTAACCTGGAAGTCAGTCAAAATGGACGTTTACAAGTAGAGCTGGACATCGAGAACCAGTTCCAAAGCAATCACTAAGACGTTTCAATTCTGCTCATGTGTTCCTAAACAAATTTTACGCACACAGTGTACTGCAAAAAATCCTCTTATATATCCAGCCCTGTCCGTCTGCGCCATTCGTCATGCAAGTTGAGTGCACGCGTGTCTTCCCTCCCCCTAATGCATTCGTCTTAATAAATCTTGAGTCCAACATTATTCTCAGTTAACCTACTCAGCTTCTCCTGAGTTGCTTGATGAGAAAGGGAGCAACACAAACTGTGTGACTGTCTGGTAGCAACCATCTTAATTTACCATATGCTGCTACGAAATGCTTCAGGAGGACGGGATTAGACGCTGTGCTGTTGCTGAAGTAAACCACAAAATATTCAAGAGACCACCATCACTACTGTTGTGATTACTTTGTGTAGCTTTGTGTCTCATTCATCCACGGTAAGCATCGCCTCACACGCCTCTGCTGTGAAGAACGTAGGACGACAGCAACGTTACATGAAGAATGACTGTTTGATTCTTTTCTATGACAATTCAGACACAACACCCGAACTGTAAAGTTTATCTGGACACATTAAGGCTAACTATAATACCCCTTAAAACATCTTTCATCAGTGGGCTTGCTCTGGGAGAGACTCACCGCCCACAACGAACTCACCAGTCATCACCTTCTCAGACCTTCTACTAAAATATAGGTATACGTGTATAATCAGGAAAATAAATCCTGTGACTGTGCTGTTATACAGAATATTATATCATTAGATTAAAGTTGCTCGTGCATTAATCTAGAATCTAAATATTACTTTGGTTGTAACCCACCCTCCACTCAGCAAATGAGCAGACTCAGAATCAGAATTATTCAAATAAATACCCAGCCCTATTTACCAAACGCAGATTGGATTGTGATTTACATTTTTAAGATGTTTTTTTTTTCATTGATTACTTGTATTCTCATCCTGTTGAATGCACTTTTTCCTCATATTAATTTAAAGTCAAACATCATTAGAAAAATATCCCAAACTTTAAAAACGATGCCTTCCCGTACAGTTGTTCTTCCCCTGAGCGACATGCTGAACCTCAGCGTCCTCACACGGACAATTGGAACGGATTTATTCAGCTACGTCTCCAAAGTAAATGTTTCCACACTTAGCAACATGGGAGGCTACAGAATCTCTTAGCGAGGCAGCTGAATGGCTGGAGCCACTTCTCCCTCTCAGCCAGTCTGACAGTTTAAACATTGAAGCCATTGTCTGAAGCATCACTCCTTTGATGGACCAGGAGCTCCACTGGCCGGGCTGCCTAATGCCCTGTATCAAGAAGGATCATCATCCCTGTCACGTCCCATTACTCCCCCGCCAGCCGCACCGCACAGCCCCTGGCATGGCCAGAATAGAAATAGAAATGCGGCTAAGCTGGCTAGCTCTCAGATAAGATTTAGGAGGTGATGTTGGGACAGTTTTCCAACACTGCTGCATTCAAAACTAGTCGTTTTCAGTCAGATAGTTCCTGACTAGCCTCACTCCCTTTTGTCCACACAACTAAAGCAGCCGCCTCAACTTTTTGACGAGTTTTTCAGACTTGCTGAAAGTCGGACTCCTTTGTCACTGGACAAATTGGGACACAAGGGAACTAATGGCAGTGGTTGATCCAAGACAGCGATTAGTATCAGCGCTGAGCCCATCATGCTGGAAGATGTCGGCCATTATGGCTCCGCAGAACCATCCATCCTACGTCTCTCTGTCTTCTCAGAACAGAGGCCGCTTTGTCTGCCAGAGGCTTCGGCCCTCGACATCCCCAGCTCCACGCTTCCTCCGTCGTCTGTACAGCCTCCCTGCTGGAGGAATTTCCACCCAGTCAGTCGCAAGACTTGATCAGGAACTGTACTGCCTAATCCTACGGGGTTGTCACCACCCTGATGCTTCACTGCGCTGTTTGAAGTTCTCAACACGCAGTCAGATTCTGCCTTTGTTTTCCCTTTTTTTTTTTTTTTTTTTTTTTTTGAGCTGATTCACACGAAAAGCCTTTTAAGTCTCTGCACTGAAGATCAATTATCAGCTTTCCTAGACAATAAAACACCCCATATGCCGAACAAAGCTGTTGTCACACGGGGGCTCTGTTCCTTGTTCGAAAACACACCAAAGGCAAGGACGTTTTCTTTCTTCTACTTCCCTGTCACCCAAACAATCACAGCCAGCAGAGGGAATGGCGTGAGACAAGCGGCTGCCTGTGTCGGTAATCAGATGTTCCTCTGTTGTATAATGGGCTTTTTTTTCCCCCCCCTACATTATCATCAATAAAAGAGGACAAATAATATGATCCTAGTTGCACTTTCAGAAAAAAAATCTGATTTATTAATGAAGTAGTGATGAAGTCGTGCAACTATTGTCCGAAGTGCCAGGGCCAAACACCCCCCGGTGGACAGTTTTAATTTGCCCGGCGCAGATGGCGAGCTGACAGGGCACCTCATTCAGAGTGAACACTGTCAACTGGCTCACAGTGAGAGAGAGAACGAGCCCTTTTCCTTCAGTCTGGGTGTGAGCGCTGCAGAATGCTAACATTATGGCCGGCTTATTAGTGCGTGAGGCCGAGCCAATAGCAGCATGCTGCTCACCATACCTCAAGGACAACAGAGAGCTAATCACGCAATCAAGATGTGGAGTGTGTCATCAAGATAAATATGTTTGATAATACCAGGCCTGTGGCAGCTAATGCCCAGCATGATCCTTGGCATATGTTTGAAGAGATTCCAAATGTGGCCGTGGTAATGTTTGCCGGTCTGCCCCCAAGGTGATGGAGTTTTCTGTGAAACGGCTCGAATGAGGTAGTGGAGAAAAAAAATAATAAAAACACGTTTCTTCTTCCAGCCACCTATCTATGTCCACTTATCTCTGAAAACACTTGCCAGAGCAGATAGCGGGAAGATTTAATTGTAGTTCAAGGCCACGGTAAATAAAAGGAGGAGTGGGATTCTGTAAAATATGCCTGAGTGGTTCAATAGCAAATTCTCAAACTAAAACCACTTGTTGGAACTTGTCTAAGTGCTCAAAACCTTTACTGCGATTTGTGAAGATTCAAAAATGTTTATTAGCTCGACGTCGGGCAGCTGACTCGAATAACTCTCTCTTATTGCTGTGTTCTGATGTTTAGAGTCATGAAATGTGCTGTGGCGATTGTTTTGATGCTATGAGTTGTCTTTGGATGATAAAAGCAGCACAAACCGTTGTGTGTGTCGCGTGAAGAAGTGAACCGACGGATGAATTAACGTCTGTGTGCTCATCATGTTGCTCACAATCATTACAGGGTCTGTGTGTTTAACGGGTGGCACCCTTCTGCTCAGGACACACCCTCATTTCTCTGAAGTTGATTCTCCAAGCTGATTCACATTTCACTAATCACTCACTCTGTTGCCCCCTTCCTCCTCCTCCTCCTCCTCCTCCTCCTCCTCCTTCCTCCCCCTTCGCTACAACCACAGGGAAGACCACACCCACAAGCGCCAGCACAACCTATCATGGGGCGGAATTCCCAAAGGAGGCAGGTGACCCTGAAAGAGGTACAGGTCCTGATCGCCCTCCCCCTGTGGGGGAACAAGGGTCACCTGACTCGGAGCCAATCAGTGTGGAGATGGAGGGTAAGGGGGAGGGATGTGTGTCCTAAATGACCTCTGACCTGCAGGGGATTGCACTGCTGGGCCCCTGAGCTGTACACTTCTAACCAGACTAACTCAAAAATGACGCATTAAGAATGTTGTTTTCACTCTGGCACAACACTTTCCTGCTTTGGGCACGCATGCTTGCAAACGCATCAGTTCAATCTTCCAACTTGCATTTCCAAAGTTGATTGCATTCATTTCAAACGGCTAATGTAAAAACGCCAGACGAGACAAGTTCAAATCAACTCTGTTATTGTTCTGTCTCCATCCACGGTTGCGGTTTTCAATTTTCCTCTCGCCGCAATCTGCGATGTGAACTGATGTTGAACAGTCGACGAGAAAATGAGTCCCGACTAGTAGCAGCTGAGATGGGCTGCTGTTGGAGGCTGACCATTCAAGAACTCGTGTGGCGGTATGCATGCTAATGGGCGCAAATGTTCTTCCAGGGTAAAATATCACTTTCATTAGCTCACTAACACTTAACTCTCTAGTTAAACCAATCTCACAGTGAAAGGCAGAAAGCATTGCTAATTGATTTTTTTTTTTTTTGATCCATGCACTTCATTAGTTAGATGACGTGATGCGTAATTTCCTGGGCAGCTTCACTTAATGGTTCCAGTGACTTAAAGCCCAATGTGGTGAGATGGAAGTGTCCTGAATTACAAGTTTTCGATACATCCGCAGAGCACGACGTATATATTCACCGAGCAGAGACGGACATGAATCCGATACAGCGGAGCATTCCAATGAGCTTGAAGAGTGTTAGGGAAGGATCTCGCTCGTCCCTTTATGTTCAGCCATACATCTCAATGTGCTCAACGCAGCAGCCACGAATGTGAAAGATTTAATGACTTAAATAGACACTGCATTGGATCTAATTAACTCCTCAAATCAAGTAGAAAGCCTGCGTCTAAACAACACTGCTCCCCCATGCCCTGTCCTCATCTTTTATTTAGCTCGTCAGCGCTCACAAATGTTCCCTCAATGCTTTAAAAAAAAAAAAAAAAAACAAATCCAGGGCACAAGCCAGGTAGCATCTATCTCTCTGAGACCATTCATTTACATTTAAAATTTCCATTTCTATTTTAGAACAACGTTCCCCACTGCACCAAACACAGACTCTGAGATGGAGAGGTAAAGCCCCGATGCCGACTTCCAGCCTAACTGCTCCTCCACTCGTCTCTCATTGGATTTTATCTGAACTAGTGCAACGTGTTCGTGTCCTTTACTGTCTAACATAAACCAACGTCTGGCACAGCACAGAATTTGTACCATTTGTTGTGTTTGCAAAGTAAACCAACAGTCTTTTACAAAAAAGGAATTTCCAAAAATGGAGGCACATGACAGGAAACAAGGCCAACAACATGTGATTGTACAGCAGTTTTCATCAGGCGCCAGCAATCACACTGATAGGAGAATAGTGTAAACACATCCAGCTCCCTCAATACGTCTGTAACCAGTCGATGAATAAAGACGGAGTCAAATATAATACCAATGAAAACCAATTTTTAAGTTCCTGCAGTTGTAGACGTCTTCAACAACATCCCTAATTTCATCCTGACAAGGCCTCAGCCAGTAGCTAAAGACATAAATGTCAAAGAATCAATAATGTTATATTCTAGATTTACCTTTATTGTCAAAGACGTATGGTTTTTGTGGCTGCAACGATAATCATTCGGCGGCACTTATTTTCTCAAGTCAGCGTTCGAAACATCAAGCAAAAAATGCCACTGCTGGTTTTCCGGCTGAAGCATTAGTTTGCCTTTGCCAACCAACAGCAGCCCTGCGTGTTTCCATTTAACACCAGCAAATCCTCGTATTTTAGAAGGTCAGACGATCACACTTTTGAAAAGTCCCTTCCAGCTCTAAGCGCCGCAGCGCTCAGGCGAGATGGCTGTAATTTGCGTAATTGCACATGTCAGAGTGATTTTGATTGAGGTTTCCTAGAATCCTGCGTTCTAGTTTAAACTTCAGCTCTCCCTTCAAACATTGGTGAAGTCGTCCAACCTCTCATTTCTCAATAAGAGCGCAGAGACTCTTTGGCAATTACACCACGCCGGCTCAGCTGCCCCGATAAATGACACAACCTATAAAAGTCCAACCAGTTCTTAAATATTTAATGACATCTTGATCTTTATTGGCTCGAGTCTCATTATTTCGTACATTTTTAATTCGACAGTCCACACTTATGCTGATTAACATTACAAGCATTTTACGTTTGAGCGACTGTGACAAGAAGTGAGTCTAAAATGATCATGTAAAGAAACAAGAGCTGCACAGCGAGACAGAGAAAGTTTCAGTGTCTTTGTTCCCCTAAAGTGTAGAGCATATTCCTGCGAGTTTAGGAAGGAGACGCGGTTCATTTGGAGGGGATTCAACAAAGACAAAGCACCACGGCGCAGTGTTTTGTCCTCTTCTTGCTGCTCGCCTGCACAGGCACCATGTCAGAAGTCCATAAATCCTCCGCGAGTAAAAGAAGCTTCCATTCACACGGACGGACTCTGTGGCTGCAATGATGAGCTACTCAGGCTTAAATGAGAAAAGTCCATAACAAATAAATAACCAGCAGGGCCCTAAGCCAGGGAGTCAGACAACGGAGGGGAGGGTGTAGGATGTAATAGAAACAGCATCGCAATCTATTTCAGCCAGAGACTGTGACGCTGGCGGTTCAATCAGAAGAGCCGGACAGGCGAGTTGATAAGGCGGGAGAGGAGCTGGTGTGGAAGTAACAGCATCACAGTTCCAAGAGGGCCTCCAATCTCTCACTTCCTGTCCATTTCCCGCAAGATATCTGCTTTTCTGTCTGTACCTTCTGTAGAGGCTCTGCAGCTGTGTCACAAATCTCCCAGCAGCCACAAGGTGGGCCAGTAGACAACAGAGCTCAGATAGTGGGTGGAAAAAAAAAATAGAATAACTACTCAAGAGAGACAAAGATACAGACCAGAAGGTACTAAACACTAAAGGTAAATACATGCATGTGTCTGGCAGCTATCCTCGTCTTCCATCCAACAAAGAGTTATCTCAACAGCTGACCATCGAGCTTAGGCAGTGTGACATTAATGTAAACGTACAGGCCTTATTACCTCCACAGGTTTAGTCAAACTTAAGCTGTACTTTACCAGGTAGAAATGTAAAACAATAAATTGCACACCGGCAGTCAGGACTTCCACATTTGGCCCTTTGCGTCAAAGGGACCGTGAATGGTCTCAGTAATGTGTAAACACAACTGACACGGTGTTGAAGAAAAATAATCAAACGCTGTCATCTTGGCTCGGACCTGCCATAAAGATTTTAAGACCTGACTTGACATGAACTCCTTGTGTACAACAAACATCCATCTCATTATTTTCCGAGGGAACGGGCATACATTTTAATCAATACGGCTGTCAGCGCCGGCTATATAATGACTCAGGCTTCGCACTTCTACACATGAAGCAGCAGCTCTATAGGCGTCAAGTATATTTTCTTCCACGGTGCCTACCTGCATTACATTAAATATGCATTTGCCTATGAGCACTTTTAAAAACACTTCTCGACGCACGACTGTGGCTGAGGGCATCAGGAGCAGACACTAATGGAGGTGCAGATACTGCTGACAGACGGCTTTCACCAAACGCCGAGGCTTGAGACTGAACCCGGACGTGCCCGCAAAGACAGAAACAAACAGATGTACTAGTCGAGTTTTTGCACCAGCTTACCTGGTAGCCATCAGACCACCTCACCAGCAAGCAGTGATACAGCCATTAGGCCTTCCTCACTGCAGATATTTTGACTTGTCATAGTGGGAAAAGCATCCCAGTAGGTTCTGCCAGCAGGCCAACGCCAGCACCATGAAACCAGAGCAACTAAACAGAACTCAGGCGTCATTTGTTTTCCTGTTTACACCTGTGCTCTTCTCGTTGCGATCCGTCAGACTGTCTCCTGTGAAAAAAGGGGCTTAATAACAGAGGCTTTCCCCAGAAGACAGTGATGGTTAACTGACTAAATGATGCGGCTGGCAAGTTGACCAGAAGTATGAAGAATTCATCAGTTTCCAAGAACGGCAGAGTTATTTCATGTCAGTTTAATTCTCTTCAGCCTGCCTGGATTTGTGTTTTGAAATTCAGAAGGCTCTTCACAGACACAGACGTCTGTGATCCGCCGTATGGTTACCAAATGGTGTGTTAAATCATTTGTAAGCCCTCTGTAAGACTTCACACCACACAAAAATTAGCCTACAGTACCGTCTCACAGCAGCCCAATTGTTGCTGCTCCGCTGAGGTTTTAATAAACCTTGTGTGGGATAACGGCTTAAGACAGTTATCTGTAAAAACAAGGACTGTTATGTCGAGGCAGTGGAGGAGTGATGCACCTGTGTCGTGTGTGTTCAGATATGATAACCCCCATTTTAGTAGAAATCTCTAAAAGAGTGCGAGTACAAATCCACCAATAGCATTTGTGTCGCTACAAGTAGCAGATGCTAACTAGTGCTATATGTTTGCCTCATTAACATTAATAGAATTAATTAGTTTAAGCATGTACTTGGGCACTATTTCTGTAAGTGCTTGGCCAATGTGTACACAGTTGTAGTGACATTTTTTAAAAAAAATGTATTTAGCTGTTTGTATTATCTGTAACATGATTGCATGTTTAAAATGATAATGTGACCTTAGCTAGCAAGCTAAGGTTGAAGGATTTACGAGGTCTTCCTGTGTCACATTAGCAAAAAGATAATTATAATTAGCATAGCTAGTCAAATTAGCTCATTAGCTAGGTAGGGAGTCCTATAAGGTTAGCTTTTTAGCAAGCTAATATTAGCCAGATTTATTTGCTAACATTTACTGGAGATTATAATAAAACAGTTTAATAAAGAAAACAAAAAAAAGCCTGTTTTACAGAGAGAGACACAGATAACTTGCATGTCGGACAGCAGAACTGAAGAGTTTTGAATAAATATTCATTATTCACACCAATAACAATGAGCTCTGCATTTGTAGGTT